AATGACCTTTATCACAATATGCTAATTTTTTTAGAAGGACCTGTACATAGATGTATTAAACAGGTAGGGGTGTAACGGTACGCTAAAATCACATTTCCGTTCGGTTCAATTTCATTGAGGGCTCGGTTGGGTTAATTTTTATTACAAAAAAAGACAAAATGAAGACTTACAAAATGTTTATTTTGAAAATATGCCAAGTAAACAATACGTTTGTATAAAAATAAATAAAAGCAACCCATTTGGATATTTTAAATAAATGGCACTACTCTTTACAATAAATAAACTATTCTAACAATAATAACTTTTTGGATTTTTCTACCTAGATTATTGAGCATGCATCAGGACATCAGGATATACTAACAATAATAAAAATTGTAATAAATACAATAACAATCAGAACCAGAAAAATAAGCAGCAAAAGACTGTTTACAATCTAACAATCAAGTTTTAAGTTTTTGGCCAAAAAGACCAACTTGTCCAGATTTTCCGCCAAAAGCACAGATCTAGTTGCAGTGAATATGTCCATTAGTGGAGAAAACCACTCACTAACAGGTGGCAGGAATAAAGAGGTAGAGCTTTGCTAATGCTGCAGTGTGGCTGTATTTGGCCTCATTACTTACAACCTCTTGGACCTGCTCCCACCTGTCCATGGAAAAGTTCAGAGTTCAGTCATCACAGACTTCTTAGCTGGAGATGATCTCTGATTTCCCTGAAGAGGAAGAAGACTTGCAGCCGTTATCTCTGTCCCAGACTGGAAATAAAAACACGGAGCTAAAAAAAAAGACTTGATAAGATTATTATTTAAAAAAAAAAAAAGTTAGATAATAATAATAAAAGAACAATACCTCTTCTTGAACGGTCATCATTTCTGTTAAGAGGTAGTTGATTCTCTCGTTCATCATCATCGGGGCAGGGCTTTAATCTGGTCCAGGGCTTGTTGACAATCAGTTTTATCTTTTCATAAAGTGCTGCTACAACTTTTTGGCTGAAATGTTGACGTGATGTCATAGCTGGGCTCAAGAACTTTAAAGCCGGCGCATCAACAGAAACATAGATCCAGAGCTTTAAAAACTCCTACATCTTGTGTTATTGCTCTGGACTGATCTGAATTACCTGATAAATGTTGTTTAAATGCTGTTATCGCTCTTTACAACTAGCTGCTTTTCTTGCTTGTAGAAGAGACGTTCACGTTCAGATGATGTTGTTTCAACCGCGTTAACAAGTTAGACGTGTTGCTGCTGCAGATCCAATCTCCATGAAACATCGACACACAGCTTTGGATTTACACTTGTGTTTTAACAAGAAAGCCATAATGTTCCCAAACAGGAGAATGCAATGAGAAGCTAATGCTAATGCTGCGCGTGCTGCAAGATAATGGCACCGTGCTGAAACACTCTTAGGAACTGGTTCCACGGTGCATAATCTCTCGTGAACAAAATTTAATCAATGAAAAAATAACCGTAACGGTACGCACGTGGACCGAACCGAACATGCCGTACCGAAACGGTTCGGTACACCCACGTGTACAGTTACACACCTATAAACAGGCATTGACATGTTTTCCACATAAGTTCTGAAAGGCTGCCAAGTGGACCAAATTCTCTTAACAGAACCTTTCGGGGTATATCTTTTTTTTTTCCACATGAATATTAGGAATGTGCGATATGGCATAAAATTCATATCACGATATGTATTGTGAAGGGTGGCGATAACAATATACAGGTCCTTCTCAAAAAATTAGCATATTGTGATAAAGGTCATTATTTTCCATAATGTAATGATAAAAATGAAACTTTCATATATTTCAGATTCATTGCACACCAACTGAAATATTTCAGGTCTTTAATTGTTTTAATACTGATGAT